TTCACTCATGAATGATTAAATCATCAAAATTCATTGATCACAGGGTTCATTGAGCACTGGTTAAAATATTACCACTGAATCTAAATTTACCTTCGGATGATTAATCTAACAACATCATAAGTTCAAATGAACTCAAAATGATTCAGAAGATTTTAAAGGTTGTTTAGGGTTATGCCCCATACACCTTAACAATCTTTTTGATATTTTGAAGGACAACTGAACTTATTATGCTTTGTTGAAGAAAAACATCCTTAAAACTTTTAGGGACCCACCAAGTTATGCAATACCCTCTTCCACGATCCGTTAATTCGCACAATCAATAAAAATACCATACACAACTTATCCTACATTAATGACCCAATGCTCAAGGATTTAGGTCTTCTCTAAGTTATTTAAATCCTTGCGAGCAACTGGAGATATTTGTTTGTGCTACATGTGGATCATCACCCTGGTGTAAATCTGAAGTCTGGGTGGTCAGGGCGATGACCATAATGCTAATGTGTGCAAAATGAGGGATACAAAGTGAGATTTAAAATAATATCTACTACTCAAGGACCTTTAATAAGGGGAGAGGATATGACCGACGATATTATTCGCAGACTTTTGATAAGATTGTTGCCCACAAAACTCTTAGATTGTCAGTATTCCTAGCTCGATTAGAGTGATTAAACCTTGGATTATACTACTTTGCAAAAAAAAAAAAATATTTCAAACAATTCACAACATAACTGCTTTTACCTGCTAAAGTAAATTCTACATGCATAAAAACTAAATTAAAATGAAAATTTATAAAGATCCACGATTAATTACTTGGATCGAAATTAGGGAATGCCCTTCGTAACTTATCGGGTTGGTAGTTCTCACTCAAGGTTGGGAAGCACACAGTCTGGCTCTAGCCCCAACCTTCACTGTGGGCTTACACCTAGTCTCGGTCTTTAACATGTGACTACGAGTTTTCTTTTAATTACTCGTGTTTTCTTACGATTAGCTTTTTGATATTTTATATTGCATGTTCTTCTTTTATTTTCCTGTAATTTATTTAAATTCTCGGCAAATTACATTATATTTTATGATACTAATCATGCAACAGTAGCTGAGGCTCAGGTATTCATTTACAGTTTATGTACTGCAGTTCTTTCATTTACCTTACAACCTTTTCTACCGACATTTATTTATTTTACATGCAAAACTAAACCAAAACTGAAAAAAAAAACGCACTTCCAAAAATTAAATATACACTTTCAAAATAATCTACGAACATAATACACTCATTTTGGATTTTACTAGAATTTCTCGGATGGGGTAACCTAAAGTTGTTATTAGAAGTTCTCTAATTTAAATGTGCTCGATGAGTTGTTTAAACTAAGTAAACTCAAGAGAAAATAGTGGTGCTAGGATGATGGAACTGTGTGATCTTAACCGGTGTCACTTAGCAAAAATTAAAATCCCCCCTAAAAAATACTTAAACAACAATAACAACAACAAACCTAGCATATAAACTACAAAACTATAAAACCCTGCACCTTGGGATTGCTGCTTCGAAGATGAGCTTGGAGTGAACTCTGTGGGCAGCATAACGAGCATAAACAAAAGAACATCTTCGAGAGAACAAACGAGATTGTCAAATAACAGGATTTTGAATTATAGTCAGCTTTTGAATTAAATAAAAAGCCATAAAATTTTGAGATAGTTCGTTCAGTACGAAATAAATCAACTTATCTTTATGCCTTTGCATAATTATGTTGTGCATATTAAGCCCTAACTCGCTTTAGGCTCTGAGGTTGTCCTTCGTTATTACATAAGTCCTCCTATCTTCCAGACTATTTACATGATCGGTGTCATGCAAGTGTAAGTCCAAAATAATAAATATGACATGATGAAACATCTAATAATTTTTTCTTGAAATTGAAGCCAAACCATATGATAGCTTGGGAAGTCACCAACCAAGGTTCTCCTCAGAACCTCCTCAGAACCTGTGTCATCTTCCAGTTTTCTTTCTTTAGATTCCAAAAATTACTATTCCTACTTTGAGTCATTCTTCATTTGATATTTCCTACGCCCGACCTTGAAATCCTAAACTTTAAGATTTATCAAGACAAATAGCTCTGATCTAAATCGAGAGTTTTCGTAAATGACTTCGGTCATTTAAGATGTAATTAACCATAACGGCTTGCCCTTATAGTGAGCTTTAAGAATCCAGGTAAAATAAATCCTATCTAATCTTTTATATTAGATATAAGAACTTCTCAGTCAACATAAAATATTTCACAAACCAAAATGGATGTTATAAAATTTTTAGTTTATTTAATCGAGTCTTACTATCAAGTAATGTTTCTATTCCCTAGGATAGATGCATGACTGTAGTGTTGTGCTTGTTTATTTAAACTATTATCTGTATGAAATCGGATAGGTCGGGTATTTTTAAATTTAAAATGCTACAACTTTCCTATGTTGACGACCGACAACATAAAGTTAAGGGCTTTAAGCTGTATGATTAGTTAGAAAGGAAAGTTATAATTAACAAAGATGTTAAATTTGACAAGGAAAACTTGTTCAAAAATTAGGACTCAAAGTAGGTGGGGAGTTTTAATGGAATCATAGATATGCAGTAGAAGTTAGAATTTGGTGCAACCCCATTTGTTTCATAGAGTTTGTCCACTCTGACTCAAGTTTTTGATTCAGTTGTAGCTTAGAAGATATTTGTTGGTAATGCTCAAGCGGAAAAAAGGTTGAGGATGAGATTTTGGCTCATGAATCTATTGTTAGGAGCTGTAAAAGACATCATAATGTCACAAAACTAGTTTGGTTGAGGGATCACATTGCATTTGCACTTTTATCCACAGAGATAGAAATTTCTTGTCACTATAAAGAAAGCTATGGAGAGCACAAACTTTGGGCATTGGAGAGCGGCAACAGATGGAGAGATGGAGCCTCTTTGGAAGAATGGCACTTAGACGTTGGTGATGTGCAATATAAGGCCATATTAGTGACTAATAACTTAATGCAATGAGAAGGGATTGATTATGATGAAGTGTTCTCCTTTATGGTCAAGCATCCCTCAATCTGTGTTCTCTTACCAATTGTAGCATAGAACAGTTCCATCTTGGAATAGCTCAATGTGGAGACTGCATTCCTACATGAAGAATTGCTAGAGAAGATCTACATGTTGCAGCCACCTGGATATAGAGCATTAAAAGACAATGGTACAGAAAAATTGATCAGTTCATAAAGGTACATGAGTGCACGAGGAGCCAGTATGATCATTGTGCATATTTCAAGAAGTTGGCCAACGGTGACTTCATTTACTTGCTTCTATATGTTGATGATATGTTGACTGCATTTGTTATTCATATTGAGGTTGATAAGATGAAGAATCAACTATCCAAACTTTTTGAATGAAGAAGTTGGGTAAAGCTTGCAAAATTCTTGACATGGAAATTCTTGGAAGATGTTGAAAATTTTGGGGTTGATGACTCTATCAAGGTGGTGAGTCTATTAATTGCATTTCACCTTTAGTTGAGTTTAAATTAGTGTCCTAAAGATAATCACAAAAAGAAAGATATGCGATCGATTTCTTATGCTAGTGCAGTTGGCGGTTTGATGTATGTAATGGTTTGTACTATACCAGATATTGGAGAAACAGTTGTTCTTATGAACAATTTTATGCATGATCCAGAATGAAGATATTGGTAGACATTGAAAAGTATTCTATGGTACTAGAATAGTACATTTGATATTGACTTGGTGTTTAAGAGGCAATCATCCAGTTCAGGTTTGTGTGTAGGCTACACTAACTCAAACTATGCAGGTAATATGGATAGGTGGAAATTTAAAATTGGCTATTTATTAATAGTGACTGAAGGTCCAGTCAATTAGAGTTTGGTTCTTCGGCCTACTATTGCTTTGTCTATTACGGAGGTTGAGTACATGACTATTACAGAGGCAATGAAGAAAATAATATGGATGGATAGCCTATTTGATGATTTGAGAGTTGATTGAGAGTCTCTTACAATATTCTGTAATAGTCATAATACAATATTCTTGGCTACAAATCTAGTTCATCATGCTTGTATCAAGCACATTAATGTAAGATACCACTTTGTTTGAGACTTGATTTAAGAAGACAAAGTTCTGTTGAAGAAGATAAATATAAAAGAGAATCCATTGGACATGCTTACAAAGGTACAATCAATCCAGAACTCATATACTACAAGAGTTTGGTGAACATTCGAGCTCAGGATTGATTGCCCAGTCGGGCATTTTAAAGAATTACGTGAGACTTGATTCTTTCAGGCGAAGGGATACGTAGGGAACCATCTTGGTACAGCTGACTTGGAGTTTGCAGCTCATTTGTTCGTCTCTCACTTATCTGGAAGTAAAAGAAGAGATGAAGATTGTTGTATTTTATGATTTTTTAAATTAGGAATAATTTGGTCTTTTTGTCTTTTTCACTTATATACTCTATTCCTCCTCTATAAATGTGACTTACCCCGAGCCGTTTTTTCATTCTCTCATCTTGTGCTTTAACATCGAATCATATAAATCTTAATGTTTGATTGTTGCTATGTGAATTTTTACGCTTCTGTATTATTTTCACATAACATATAGAACAACCCAAGATAATTTACATATATATTTTTTAATTTTTATTTAAGTGAATAAGGGAAGTGTATTGTTTCCTCAAGCATGTTAACCAATTTTATATATTTATATATTAACGAACCGATATATTAACGAACCGAATGAATGGAAATACAAATTCTGTAATTCTTAGAAAAAGAGGGCCTTTTGTGCTTTCCCACGAGTAGAAATCCATTTCGAGCCCCACCTGGCCCTATTAAGATCTTATTACAAATCCAGCTCGCAAAACTTTTTTCGGAAACCAAAAGGGTATCAGATACTAAGATCTTGCTGACCTCTTCCTCCTCATCTCTCCCTGAATTTATTTTCAAATCAGTTGCATCTTTGATTTTCTTACCTTCATCCTTATTGCTCTGCAATTTATAAATCTTGAAAAGAAAAGCTATAAAGGTTTCATCTTGCAACTTGGATTTTGCTTCTCTAAAGTTTTCCTAATAGAGTTTCTTAGGACTACTGCCGTTTGAACTCCCATGGTGGAACGAGAAATGGGTGGTGATTCTCTTTTGAAGCCGAGGAGAAGAAAGGATGAGAAAGAGAAAGAGAGAACACCCACAGTTTGGCTTTCTCTCAAGCGATCCCTACACTGCAAATCCGAACCAAGTGAAGTCCATGAACCAAAAGCTAGAAGCCATATTGGCTCCATTCTCAACAGAAAACCTTGCAGGTCTGGCTGTTCTAGATCAATAGCTAACCTCAAGGATGTCATCCATGGAAGTAAGAGGCACTTGGAAAGGCCGCCAAGCTGCAGTCCTAGGTCCATAGGAAGTAGTGAGTTCCTCAACCCAATAACCCATGAGGTTATTTTGAGCAACTCCAAGTGTGAACTGAGGATTACTGGTTTCAATGGCTACCATGATGGAGATTCGGGGGGTTTAGGTTCTAAATTTCTTGGTAATCTGAGGCCAGGGACTCCAGGGCCAGGGGGACATTTGGGAGCCCGCTGCAACTCTTCTTCTTTCAAAGGGGTAGGTAGTCTTACTCCACCAAGAAGATCACCTACTGGTTTGGTTGGTGAGAAAGATGGCAATGGATTTGGTAGTTCAAATCTTGCCGCAACTGTGTTTGGAAACAATGGTGGTGGTGCTGGAGTTCATCAAGCTGGTTCTACACCTAGGGCATCTCATGAAACTCCTGCTGCTAGTGTGGCCTGTCATAAATGTCGGGAGCGGTTTGCAAAATTGGAGACATTGGAAGCTCATCATCTATCCAAGCATGCTGGTAAGATTTTATCGCTTGTTTCAACCTCCTTTCGTTTTTGATCTTGACAATGATCTTTTTTATTCATGTATTGTTGAGTCTCGTTTACGAATTGCTTTGTTTTGAGTTAATGGTTCCAGATTTAGAGATTTCTATACACATCCTTTTTAGAATTCAGTCATTTTAGTGCCACACTTTTTAAGTTGGATTGTTACTAAAACATTTTTTTTTTTGTTTTCTAAAGCTGCTTTTGTTCATCAGGCAACTTATCGGTGGATTTAACAATTAGGTTGATAAGGAAAATTTTTCATGCTATTTCAGATCATTCATTATGAATTTACGTCTTAATGCTTTCTCTCTCTTATTTTTATAACTAACATCCTCTTTTTCGTAAGTCTCTGTTTAGTTTGATGGAATTGAAAGAGAGGAAATGGAGATAAAAGGGGTATTGTTTTCACCCATCTGTTTGCCAGAGGAAAAGTTAAATGAATGTTTTTTTCTCGCTTAGCTAGAAATTGAGCTCTTGTTTCTAGTGAAGAGTGCTGTGGATCAAATAACTTCTTCATAAATTTAGAGTTTAATTATCACTAGGATGCATTTGTTAATTTTTTTTATAGATGAATCCATTTCACTATTTTATTTACTATTCATATTATCATTTGTAGTTACCGAACTAGTAGAAGGTGATTCTTCCAGGAAGATAGTAGAAATAATCTGCAGAACGAGCTGGCAGAAATCTGAAGGCAATTGTGGGCGAATTGACAGAATCCTCAAAGTGCACAACATGCAGAGAACTCTCGCCCGATTCGAGGAACATCGAGAAACAGTAAAGATCAAAGCCAGCAAACTTCCTAAGAAGCATCCTCGTTGCCTCGCTGATGGAAACGAGTTACTGAGATTCCATGGCACAACCATTGCCTGCAATCTTGGCATGAATGGCTCCACAAGCCTCTGCGTGTCTGAAAAATGCAACGTCTGTCGAATCATAAGGCATGGCTTCTCAGCCAAGAAGGAGCTCAAGGAAGGAGTAGGAGTGTTCACAACTTCCACCAGCGTTAGAGCGTTCGAATCAATTGAGTTATATGATGAGGATCCTTCGATAAGAAAGGCCTTATTGGTCTGCAGAGTGGTTGCTGGGAGGGTTCACAAGCCGTTGGAGAACTTGCAGGAAATTGCAGGACAATATGGATTCGATTCATTGGCCGGGAAAGTTGGTCTTTATTCGAATATCGAAGAGCTCTATTTGTTAAATCCAAGTGCTCTCTTGCCCTGTTTTGTTGTTATTTGTAAGCCCTGATGATGTTTTGATACTTTTAACAATTTCTGTTGTTGTTTTGAAATCTATCTTAATTGCTTTTGTACTTTTTTGTTTATGCTTTCCTTGAAACTGTATGCGAACTGAAGCAAGCATAATGTTTATAAGGATATTTGAATGCATACTCTAATTTTGAACATTACATCTAAGATATCATGCATATTTCGTGTATAAGTTTATGATATTAAGATGTTATAAGTGTAAATATTAAATTTATATTTTAGATACTTATATACATAAGAATTTCGTTGTATGCATGTAGATTTTAGATATAAATGTAATTATAGTTCATAAATAATCGAGTTATGATGCTACAGCTTGCATGGTTATTAATTTAGAGGCAAACAGAAAATGAATGGAGATGTCAATTTGGGATTTGGATCCTCCATATGCGGTAATTGCGTGGAAGCGATTATGGTTTTCCACCGTCAGATCGAATTCAGACGCTTGTGTCGCGTTCCGCTGACTAGCATTAAAAGTTTTGATGCCATTATTATTTGATAATTAATTCATCTTTGGAGGTTTTAGGTCGCATAAATGCAAAGAATTTTAAAGGCTTCTCACAATGTGGACCTCAAATTTCAGCATTTTAAAATAGAAAATATTATGCTATACCTCTCTTTTCGTGCTTAGCTTGCTTAGCCATTAATTATCAGCCTCTCTAATCTTTGATAATTACATGAGATATTGTCTATAAATATCAACAATCTAAGGTTGACTTTGGACTTAATAAGTGGCTTAAAGGTAGTCTAATATGTAGGAGGAAAGGAAACGGAGTGACGCTTGCCAATCATGTCTGGTTGATGATAAATTTAATTGCTTTTATTATGAATTAAAAGCCCTCTAGTTCTTTTAAATTTTTATCCAAAGAAACTATTTTTTTTTTTTTTTTGGAATCCATCCCACATGCAAGAACATTGAGATGGACTTTTTTTACTTGTGGATTAGATTAATTATCCAAATTTAGGCATATTTTAGTAAAAAAAAATTGATAACACAAAAGTTCATTGAAATTTATAAATGACAAATAAAACTATCATGCCATTTTGTGTGCAACAACTCTAAGCATATAAATGTTAGAGACTAATTTATCAAATATCATAATAGCTCTAATCAAGAGTATACAATACATGTGCAAACACAAGAAATTCATTGAATCTAGGCTATAATTGAACTCTTTATGGTGTATTAGCTCCATTACCACATTCTTTTAAGTTTTAATAATTGATAATAAGGTTGCTCTTGTTGATAGAGATATGGGGAGCAATAAAAGAAAACCAAGGAGTAGAAATAGAGAGAGAGAGAGAGAGAGAGAGAGAGAGAGAGAGAGAGAGAGAGAGAGAGAGATCACATATGTCAAAGCTTCAATCAATCACCTTGTAGGCAAGCTTGTCAACCCATCATATTAGTTGAAACCAAGATATCATTTAAATTATTATGTAGCATCAATATTTTGATCAAGTTAACACTAAGAGATTCAAGTGCTCAAGGTGCACCTTAAATCCAAAACATTGCTTGAGACAATTCACCATCATATTTTTAAAGTTGTTGGACTTGGAGAGATAAGAAGGCTAGAGCTAAGCTTCTATGCCACTTAAACTATTATCTATAATGACCTCTTAAAGAGCATGTAGTTGACATGAGTAATATTATGTGGTTTTATATGCATTTTATCATTCTACTTACTTGTCATATCACCTTTTTTATTATGATTTTATGCTTATGAAATGGTCTCTGTGCTATTTTACAGGTTATAAGTGTCAAACAAGAAAACCAAGGTCAACAGTTGCAAATAGTGCTCTTCGGCGTAGTCACGCCTTATTTGGGCATGACCACACTTCATCTGGGCGTGACCACGCACAACTGTCATGAACACGCCAGTTTTGGGTGTGACCATACCAATTTTGGGTGTGGTCATACCATCGGACGGCCAAAGCCCATTTTGGAAGGCATTTTTATGCTAATTTTTGTTGTATCTTTCAATAGAGGGAACAAATTGAGGGTGCTCTTTTGGGTGAGAAGAGATCTGGAGGCGGTTTGGGCACAAAATTTGAAGGTTTTTAAGAGTTTTTTCTTAGGTTTGCTCTTCTTCTCTTAGGGTTGAGGTCCTAAGGGTTTTTTCCCACCTTTATCTTTGTATTGTTCTTATTTGTTTGGAGAGGTTATTGTATGAAAGAGAAGTTGACTGCTGTTAAAGTGAGAACAAATCATCTTGTATGTATTTTCTTTATCAATTTTCCTTATAATAATGATTTCGATGATGTTTATCCAAGATTATTTCTATCATGTGTAGTTAAACAACCTTTCACGCCTCTATGATTTATTGCATGTGTTAGGTGCCTTTCTCAGATGATTTCCTTCCCTGTATTGTTTTTTTGAGAAATCAAAGTTTTTCATTGTTGTTTTAACCATAGAGTTTAGTTTTACTCATGATTAGAATTCTAACATATTTCATGATCTGTAACTCCTACTCATTGCACAGATGAACAAAAGGTTAACCACAAAATACAGGTAACAATAGACATATTTTATTTGGGTTTTGCAGCCTAGACATGGGATTAGAATAAATTTACAGGATGCTATGTGGATTGATGAAGTCTCAACTTCATTAATTCTAGTCTTTTTATGACCTAGACATGAGCATAAGAGAGACTTTGATATCCCTGCGAACAACAATCACGTAAGGGAAAGTCTAGTGAAATCATGAATCAACACATTTCCTAAATTACAAAGACGGGAGGCTCTCATTCATCGAAGAATAGTAATATTTATCTGTTGCTATTTTCCATCTTTTCTGAACATGTTATCTTCTGTTTTGCATTTAAGTAGGATTTTACAAAATCACTCCTTCTTATGATTGCGTAAAAATAAGTTTAAAAGTATATTAAACTAAAGATTCACCCTCCAAAATAATTCTCAACACTTTTTTCATGACATTGATAAACAATACTCTTTAATCACATTATTACTTGATACATACTTAAGTGATTCGGCTGACTTGCTTCATCAAAACATTTTGATGTGTCATTAGCCTTATACATCGATTGCCCTGCTACACATATGAGAGGCAATCTTCTCAACATGAATTATTCACACTTACACTTTGGACATATCTCTATTCATTCATGGTACCTCCATTGTCATATCTTGAAGAAGGTTTATGTAGCATTTATCATCAACAAATTTTTAAATAAATGGTCAGCTTTAGTTTCCTGCTCACTCATGCTTACTCTTATGGACCTCCTTGACATCTCACAATTGATTATGAAGTCCATTGACACCAGGCTCATATAAATGGCATTCCTTAACATTAAGCAACCTTTTTTATTCTCCTGATTAGTAGAAGTATAATCCACTATCACATGATCACAGGAAGAATCAAGTCTCAACCATGAGAGTTGGAGGGAGAAATACGCCTTCTACAATTGAAAAATCTTCCAAAACTCCAAAGAGTGCGACCACCCCATCTGATATGTAAGAGTGATATCATCCTTCTTATCTGCCAAACTGTAGTAGTATAGCTTTTTTATTTCTTCACTATGACCTTGACCTCTTCTTGCTCATTCTCACCAACAATTGAAAAAGGTTTCACCTTAACTTCCTTGGCCACAATTTTCCTTTAACATTGACTTTATATCCTAAATAGATGGGTGTTATTTTATTTTTATATGTGGTCTATCTTGTTCTTTCTCCAAAGAACTTAGGATTTAGCCTTAGAGTTTCCTTACTAACCTTTCTAAAAGACTACTGGAAGAACTAATACCAAGCTAGGACTTCAAAACATCTCTTCAATCTTTTATAGTTTTATTTATATGTCTTCAAACAGTTAAACCTTGGTTGTGCTGGCTAAAGTAAAGTTATTGAAACTTAAAGAGATTTCATATACACATGGGAATGCCTTAAGCTATCCATTTATCCTTGAGACTTGGGTATTTCTATCTTTTAAGATAGTATATTGCGTTTGTTGTTATTTTTTATTATTTAAACAATTAAATCAATAAATATGTACTTTTTCCAAATAATCCCCACAACATAAAATAAAATTGATTGAATTTTCTAGCCACTCCGTTGGGAACAACCTTTCTCTTCATCTATGGCTGATGATTTTTCCTTTATACATCAATAATGCATTTGTATCCATATTTTTTTTTCTTTCGTTAGTATTTCATGTTCATTTAATTCTAGAGCAAGTATGGAAAGTATTTCTTTTTGTTCTAGAACTATTTATTTAAAAACCTTTGAATGAGTGTGTTCTAGAATCTTCAATTTCTAAATAATGAAACCAACAAACAAAAATAAATCTTTGATTAAATAAAAAGAAAATAAAAGGAAATTTAAAATCAATTTTATCCAGTCTTAAGATTGGGTCCAACTTTGAATCCCATAGTCTTTCCATTCTCAGAATTGGCTTATTTATGACAAGTTTCCTCCTAAAATTTTTTGTTATGCTAAATTCAAAAGAAATTCAAACTAAATTTAAAAAAAATTGAAATTTCAAAATTCAAAATTTGATAAAAAATGGTTTATCTTTAGAGTTTTCCATTTTATCAGATACTTATGGAGGTGCATTGTCATCCCTCGAATCACCACCACTAAACGGGGCATTAAACTGAATTGGACTGATATTCAGATCTTTTAAAATATAAAAAATGTCTTCTCCTTACTTGGTCTTTTCATTTACAGATGGTTCAAACTAAAAATTAGGTAAAAGTACCTTACCTCAAAGATCGACAATAAAGTTTAGGGCTAGTTTTGACAGAATGGAAGTGATCCCCAAAATTACAAATTTACTCTTATTTATTTTTCAACACTAAAAAATGAATCTCACAAACTTAAAACTTGTTAAATTTAATTTAAAACCATTAATGGAGAGTTAAATAACAATAAAACATTAAAAATTCATATGTTTAAAATGGATTTGGGTAAGTTTGTGACTTTTCCAAAAAATTCAAGTTTACCATTTCCTTTATCAAACAATAAATGAGATCATTAAAATTAAAAATTTCAACTAGTCAATTTA